CAAGCAAACAGCATGGAGGGAGAAGAGAAGGGGGTCCAGGACAGAGCGTTGGGGGCACCCAAGGGTACAGGTTGTGTCTAGGATGAAGATGCAGCAAAGGAGAGCAAAATGGAGTGGACAGACAGGTAAGAGAAGAACCAGCATTGTGTAGCAAGGGTTGGAGGGGTGTGAAAGAAAGCATGGAAGCCAGTTAAGAGGCACTGCAGAAGGACTGGTAACAAAGTAGGTGTTCAGAGATTGGGGGATGGCTAAACAAATTATGATACAAGAATGCAGGCGGTGGTGTTATTGGTGTTTGTCCTTCATTTTCAAAGAGGACCAATGACATCACAGAGTGAGTTGTGAGTGGATTGAAGTGAGGTGAAGTGAGGATAAGTGAAGTGATAACTCTTCTGGAGTTATCAAAGTCCAGAGGCAAAGTCAAGATGACTAATGGTGGCCTGGGATGCAGTGGATGACCTTGGCATCTTCCACGTCTGGCTAAGCTTTAATTGCTCCGCAGCACCTGCTTCAGCTGCCTTCATGGCTGTCAGAACAAATTGTTCTCATCAGACCGTTCCACTGGGGGAAGTCTCCCATGCTTGTGGTAGACATTTCCTTAACTCACCGATGGATTTGAGACTTGTCAGTTACCCTCAGCTTGGGTTAGTCCATATGCCAAGATGGCTTTACTGGGGCATGGTCATTGCACATGCTACAGCTTCTTGGCACCACAAATGAGAGTTGGATGACAAGTAGATACCAAAGGTAGATGAGCATCCCCAAAAAGGACTTGGCAAGCCCTCACACCAGAGGTGGTAGTCCTATCAGTCCACACAAGGCGTTACATGGTTCAGTGGGAAGAGTGCTGTATCTGGAGTCAGAGGATGGGTTCCCAGCTCAGCCATTTGTGACCTGTGACCTTAGAGAAGTCACTTCCTTTTTTTTTTTTTTTTTTTTTTGGTTAGGCAATGGGGTTAAGTGACTTGCCCAGGGTCACACAGCTATTAAGTGTTATGTGTCTGAGGCCGGATTTGAACTCAGGTCCTCCTGAATCCAGGGCCAGTGCTCTATCCAATGTGCTACCTATCTGCCCTGTCACTTACCTTTCTAGACCTCAATCCCTCATCTTTAAAATAAAGGCGTGGGACAAGATGATCTCTAAGGTCCCTTACCGCTCTAAATCATAGTCTAATCTGTGAACAGATGCAAAGTAAACTAAGTAGTACCACAAAAAAGATATATACACAATGACTACAACAATGGAAATGGAAATATCAACAACAAAGAAGATAACAACCAAGCTGGGCCCCAGAGAAGAGCTGATCAAACTACTCACTTCATTGCAAATGTGGAGGACTATGGGTAGAGAATATTGTATATACTATTGGACACTCTTGAAGTATTGATTAGTTTTGCTGCTCTCCAACCCCCTCCCCCAACTTTCTTTTAAAATCTTTGTTACAGAGCCAAGATGGCAGAGTAAGAGGTGAGTCTCTCTTACCCACCCTTATTAATCTCTGAAAGCCCAGAAAATATCACCTCAGAAAAAACCTTGGAACAGCTGAACCAGAAGAAAGATGGGGTACAGCAGTCCAGTAACCTAGGTAGCTTGAGGGATTAACTGGAAAGGCCTTGCTTACCCTGGGGGAAGGGGAGCAGTACAGAAAGGGAGGCATCCCAGCAAGCTAGTGGAAAGCCCCACCTCAGATTACCAGGAGGAGATCCTGAAGCCCAGGTGGTGGAGCAGGCAAACACCAACACCTGGACCCCGAGTGCCTCAGTGTGTGTGTGTGTGTGGGGGGGAGAACCAGTGGAAACCAGCTCAGAAAACCACCAGGTGCCTGGGAATTCTACAGCAACTGGCTCTCCCAGTGCCTCAGCAAAACTAAGGGAAGCAGCGCTCCAAGGGGCCCCAGGAGGATAAACACCCTACAACATGCATCTGAAAAGAGCTGAAGAAAGCAAAAGGAAGGAAAGGCCTGGGTGAGAAGGAAATCTCCAGGAGCCACACTACCTAATCCTACCCCTAGAGTTCCCATGTTGCTGATTCCAGCCCAACACCAGGTAAGCTGCCAGAATCCTACAGCCTCCAACTGCCAACATTGGAGGCCCCAGCACACAAAGCCATCGACCAGGTCCCAGGCTCCCAACACAAGAAGCTTGGGTCAGTGCCCTCTGCTCCCCAGCAGGAGAGCCCAGTCTCTTTAAAGGCCAGGAAACAAGCAAACACCATGAACAAAAAGACACATATGATAGATTCTTATTATGGGAAGAGTGAAGATCAAGGTAGAAATTCTGAAGAGGACAACATTGTCAACAAACCCACATCTAGAACCACAAAAGGGAATATGAACTGATCTGAAGCGCAAAAAGCCTTCTTAGAAGAGCTCAAGAAGGATTTTAAAAGTCAAATGAGAGAGGAGAAGAAAAAAATGGGAAAAGAAACGAGAGGTATGCAGGAGAGAGTTAATAGCTTGGAAAAGGAAGGACAAAAATTGACTGTAGAAAACAAGTCTTTAAAAAAATACAATTGGCCAACTGGAAAAAAAGTACACGGAAGAAAACAAGTCCCTAAAAAAGACAATTGGCCAACTGGAAAAAAAGTACACAGAAGAAAACAAGTCCCTAAAAATACAATTGGCCAAATGAGGAAGGAGGTACAAAATCTAATAGAAGAAAACAATGTGTTAAAACTTAGAATTGAGCAAATGGAAGCTAATGACTCTATGAGAGAGCAAGAATTAGTCAAACAGAAAGAAAAGAATGAAAGAATAGATGAAAACATAAAATACCTCATTGGTAAAACAACTGACCTGGAAAATTGATCCAGGAGAGACAATTTAAAAATTATTGGTCTACCTGAAAATCATGATGAAAAAAAGAGCCTGAACAGTGTCTTTCAGGAAATCATAAAGAAAAACTGCCCTGAAGTCCTAGAACCAGAAGGTAAAATAGCCATAGAAAGAATCCACTAGGGGCAGCTAGGTGGCGCAGTGGATAGAGCACTGGCTCTGAAGACAGGAGGACCTGAGTTCAAATCTAGCCTCAGACCAAACATTTGAAACTTATTAGCTGTGTGACCCTGGGTAAGTCACTTAACCCCAATTGCCTAAAAAAAAAAAAAAAAAGAATCCACTAATCGCCAAATGAAAGAGATCCCAAATTGAAAATACCAAGGAATATAGTAGCCAAATTCCAAAATTACCAGGTCAAAGAGAAAATATTGCAAGCAACCAGAAAGAAACAATTTAAATATCATGGAACCACAGGATTACACAGGACCTTGCAGCTTCTACATTAAAAGACCATAGGGTGTGGAATATGATATTCTGTAAGGTAAAGGAGCTTGGATTACAACCAAGGATCAACTACCCAGTGAAAATGAGCATGATCTTTCAGGGGAGGTGATGGATATTCAATGAAATAGGGGACTTTCATAACTTCCTGATAAAAAGACCAGAGCTCAACAGAAAATTTGATCTTCAAATACAAGACTCAAGAGAGATATAAAAAGGTAAATGGGACAAAAAGAAACAACATGTTATTAATAAGGGCAAACTCTTTACGTCCCTACAAGGGAAGATGACACTTGTAACTCTTGAGAACTGTATTGTTATTACACCGTGTTAAAGGGGTATACATAAAGGGGGTGGGTATAAATTGACTTTGATGTGATGATGAAAAAAATCTAATCAAATGGGTTAAATGGATGCAAGTAAGTGAATTAATCTGATCTAACAAAGAAAATGAACTGAGAGAAAAGGAAAGGAGGAGGCAGACAAGGGTAAATTACATCACAGGAAAAGGCACAAAAACCTATTACAACAGAGGGAAAGAAGGGAGGGAGATGAGCATTGTTTGAACCTTACTCTCATCAGATTTGGATTAAGAAGGGAATAACATAATCAGTTAGGGATAGAAATCTAACTTGCCCTATAGGTAGTAGGAGACAAAAGGAGAAAGAAAAGGGAGGGGGCTAATAGAAGGGAGGTGGGAATGAGGGAGGCGGAGGTGGTGGTCAAAAGCAAAACATTAGTGAGGAGGGAAAAGGAGAAAGGAGAAAGAAAAGCATGAACGGGGGGGGGGGGAAGGATGGAAAAAAAGACAGATAGTTATCATAATTGTGAATGTGATATATATAAATATAATGGAATACTATTGTGCTATAAGAAATGATGAACAGGCAGACTTCAGATAAACCTGGAAAGAGTTGTATGGTTTGATGCTGAGTGAAGTGAGCAGAACCAGGAGAAAACGTTGTACACAATAACAGCCACATTAAGTGATGACTGACTTTGATAGAATTAACCCCTCTCAGCAATACAAGTATCTAAGACAACTCCAAAAGCCTCATGATGGAAAATGCTATCCACATCCAAAGAAAGAACTCTGGAGTTTGAATGCAGATCAAAGCATACTATTTGCTATTTTTTTTCTTCTGTTGTGTTTTGTTTCCTCTTTCTGGTGGTTCCTCCTATTAATTCTAATTCTTACTTACAACATCACTAATGTGAAAATATGTTTAATAAGAATATATCTGTATAGCTTACATCAGATCCCCCTTGGGGAGGGAGGGGGAGAAAAATTTAAAACTCAAAAGCTTATGGAAGTGATTGTTGATAAATCAAAATAAATTAATAAAAAAGGGAAAAAATAAGATCTTTGTTACAAGGGATGGTTCACTGTGTTTAAAAATGGTTGTGCTATAGAAACAAAAGGCATAAATACAAATAAGATAAAAATCTTTTAAAATAGGCTATTGCAGATGACAGATAATGAATGCCTGATTTTTTAGGAAGCATCTGTGGGAATGCAGAGGATTAGAAAATGCAGGCAAGGGAGAGATTTTTGCATATTCAAGTGAGGCAAGGAGAAGGTATAGGAAAGTAAGTACTAATGAACACAGTCCCAACTTGGAGGTCAAGTTTCCTTTAAATTCAACTCCTTCTCCGCTGGTTACTATGTATGGAGGGGGCAGCTTCCTTAGCAACAGCTTGGTCTTTTAAAGGAGCAGTAGCTGCAGTCAGCCATGGCTCCTAAGAAAAAAGGACAGGGCAAGAAGGAGAAGAAGAAGAAGAAGAAGACAGATATCCAGGTAGCTACTAAGGCCATCGAAGGAGTCGTAACAGAGACCCGGGAGTTCTACCACATCCAAATCCGGGACCTGGAGAATCGGCTTGACAGGTCAGTGAGTCAGGAGGCCCAGACAACAGCCAGCCAGGGTTCCATAGTCCGCTGGGGCAATGGGGGCAACAGACGCTGGGCCCCTGGGAGGGAGGGGCTGCCCTAGGTCCTCCTCCTGGCTCTGGTGGGAAGGGTCCTGGATATGGAGCCAAGAGGCCTGGGTGTTAACTCTAGCTCTGCCTCCAACCAACTCTGTGACCTTGAGCAAGTCTTACCCCCTCACTCCTGGCCTCAGCTTCCCCATCTATACAAATGAAAATGAAGAGGTTGGGATGGATAGCAGCCCTGGGCCCTTTCAGCTCTAACAGTCTGAATACCAGCGTGTTAGGGAGTCCAGGGAGTACCAGAGGGCAGCTCTGAGGACCAGGAAGCAGGAGTCCAGGGGTGGGTGATCACTGTGCTTGGCTCCTGGAAGGGCTCTGGGCCATAGTGGGACATTGACAATCTGACTTTAGGGTTATCCAAGCTCCTCTTTCTGAGCCCTTTCCCACCACTCAGCACCTCTATCTCCTCTGCCTAGGGTGACTGAGTAACCTCAGCTTTCTGAAAAGCTTGTTTATATTGAAGTAATGGGGACTTGGTGTGTTAGCCCTTCAATGAGGGGTTTGAATTGTACAAGGGATGGGTAGGGCAATCCACAGGGATAGATTATGATTGATGGCATCTCAGGTATCGGTCATAGGCCAGAGGAGAGTTTTTGGAAAGTGTGGTGCTGTCCTGCAATCACAGCAGGTAGACACCTGCTCTTTCACATACACATAAATCTCTTTGACTCTTTCCAAATCAGCTTGGCCCTGGCTTTGAAAAGTTCCATTCTGAAGAGTTGCATTCATAGCTCTATAAGGCTGCTAATATTAAAGCCACATGTTGATCTCTAGTATACTTATGGCATCCTTGGACCTGCTATTTTCTTCTTGTGCTTTTCTCCCAGGACGTAGAAAGAAAGCATCAATGACCCTACTTCCTACACATTTTGCTCATTGTCTCCTTCCCGAATGGGTAGGAAAAATCAGTAGGGAGCCTGTAGACAGCCTCTCTTGAAGCCTTATTCCCTTAAGCATCTTGTTCTTGCTCTTAACAACCATATGGCAGGAAAGGACTTTGCTCCTCCAACCCTTACCTGCCTCCTTCCTCAGGTACAAAAAGAAGTGGGATGAGTTCTTCCAGCAGGACAAAGTGTTGCAGGAAGAGTTTAACCAGCTGGCTCATAACAAAAAGGAGGTTGTTTCCTTCCTGAAACGAACTCTTAACCAACGTGTGGATGAGATCGCTGACCTTAATTCTCAGCTGCAGGGGCTGCAGATCTCCAAAGAGATGGAGAAAGATGCCTTTGAGGCCCAGCTGGCCCAGGTACGCCATGAGTTCCAGGAGACCAAAGACCAGCTCACCATGGAGAATATAATCTTAGGTAAGGGAAGAGCCCAAATCAGGCAGGCCACTATAACATCTTCACTGAATGATTCCAAGAAATTCAGCCACCGACCTAGGCTACACCATGGATGAGATAGGAGGAAAAGGCAGATCCCTGACCTCAAGAGTGATTACTTATCTAGGTAAGGACTTAAGAAACACACAGTAAACCAGAAAATGTTAAATGCCAAACTCTTACTCAAAGAAGTGGAACTAGAAAATAATGAATGTGATCATTTAACAAATGTACCAGAACTTAGACATCTCAAGGGGTAGTACCCTGTCAAAGTAGTCACCTTTGAGAAACTGTGAGTTTATTTCAGAAAGGCTGCCATTGCTTAAATCATTTCTGGAATCCTCTTCAAGGATTGCCTTCAGAGCCATTTGATGAATAAAAATTTAAAAAATTAGTGTTTTTTAATTAATTTAATTTTAGTTTTCAACAATCACTTCCATAAGATTTTGAGTTTTAAATTTTCTCCCCCTTCCTTCTAGCCTCCCTCCCCAAGACAGTGTGCAATCTGATATAGGCTCTACATATACATTCCTATTAAACATATTTTCACATTAGTCATGTAAATAAGAATTAGAACCAATAGGAGGAACCACGAGAAAGAAGAAACAAAACAAAATAGAAGAAAAAAAAAGAGCAAATAGTGTGTTTCAATCTGCATTCAAACTCCATAGTTCTTTCTTCGGACATGGATAGCATTTTCCATCATGAGACTTTTGAAGATGTCTTAGGTCCTTGCATTGCTGAGAAGGGTTAAGTCTATCAAAGTTAGTCATGGCATAACGTGGCTGTTACTCTGTACAATGTTCTCCTGGTTCTGCTCACTTCACTCAGTATCAGTACATACAAGTCTTGCCAGGTTTTTCTGAAGTCTGCCTGTTCATCATTTCTTATAGCACAATAGTATTCCATACCACAATAATATTCATATACCACAACTTGTTCAGTCATTCCCCAATTGATGGGCATCCTCTCAATTTCCAATTCTTTGCCACCACAAAAAGAGCTGCTATGAATATTTTTGTACATGTACACCTTTTCCAACTTTTATGATCTCTTTGGGATACAGCCCTAGAAATGGTATTGCTGGGTCAAAGGGTATGCACATTTTTATAGCCCTTTGGGCATAGTTCCAAATTGGTCTCCAGAATGGTTGGATCAGTTCACAACTCCACCAACAATGTATTAATGTTCCAATTTTCCCACATCTTTTGCAACATTTATCATTTTCCTGTTTTGTCATGTTAGCCAATCTGATAGGTGTGATGTAGTACCTCAGAATTGTTTTGATTTGCATTTCTCTAATCAACAGTGATTTGGAACAAAAAAAATTAGTGTTGAAACAAAAGTTGCGTCTTGTTTGTGATCCCAAAATACGTGACCTAGTCCAGTTACCACTTCTTTCATCAGACATAATTATAAATTACTTATATCTATTTTCATCCAAATTTCAAGAGATGATGATTTGCCACCAATGAAGCTAATAAAAAGAGTCCTACAATGTCTAAAGATCAGCATGGCATGGTAGACCAGCATGGAATTTAATTTGGAGTCAGAGGATATGGGTACATATAAAAGTTCTACTTACTACTAGCTGTATGACTTTGGACAGATCACGTAACCTTTTTTGATCCTTGTTCCTCCATAAAATGAGGTGGTTACACTAGATAAGCCTGTCTAGCTCTAAACCTTATGGTCATAAATCATATAAAGAGACCTAGAAGGGATCTCAGAGATCATCTATTCCAAACCCCTCATTTTGCAGATGAGGAAATTGAGGCCCTGGGGAGGTTGAATGATTTGTTGAAGGTCACATAGGCAATAAAGGTCAGAGCTGGGATTTGAACCTAGATCTTCCGGCTCTGGAACTAGCTCTATTTCTGCTCATTAAGAGGAGTTTCTAAAGTGTGTTTTAAAATTAATGTCCAGGGGCAGCTAGGTGGCACAGTGGATAGAGCACTGGCCCTGAAGTCAGGAGGACCTGAGTTCAAATCTAGCCTCAGACCAAACACTTGTCACTTACTAGCTGTGTGACCCTGGGCAAGTCACTTAACCCCAATTGCCTAAAAATAAATAAATAAATAAATAATAAAATCAATGTCCACATGAAAGAATGAAATGAAATGAATGAAAAAAAGTGCTTCTTAAGCACATATTATGTGCAAGGCACCGTTCTGTAAGTGCTAGGGCTACCAATGGGAAAAGAAGGCAGCTCTGCCCCCTTCTAATAGGAGAGATGACACGTACAGCACATCTTAGCTGAAAGTCATGGAGAGGTCCCATGGTTCTTCGAGTAGAGCATCAAAGCAGATGGCAACACATCCTTTACCACACACACACACACAAACACACACACACACACACACATCCATCTTTCATGTCATTTCCACTGATGAATTCATATCAGTTTAGGATGTAGAACTACTTGGTAATGCCAGGGATTTGGTGGCAACTTTCTTTTTGGGATCTTCAGCAGCTGTGCTTGCAGCACCCGCAGAAAGAGTTACCAGACCACATTTACACAGGGGTTGCTTCCCAGGACAATGGCTGTGAGGGTTGGACTGGAGACAGGACAAGTGATCATTCAAATAAATGTACAGCTCCCCAAGGAAACCACTTTGAAGGGGACGGCACTCATTTGGATATTGAAGTCAATCAGCCACATCTTGAATACGTATTCTAGATTTCTGAAAAGGGGGAAGTCACGGTAGACAGGAGACAGTGGGATTTAAGCCAAATCTTGAAAGATAAGTCTACTCTAAACAAATGGAAGAAAAGGAGAGAGGGCTTACCAAGGGGGAGGTTTCGACTGGGCAAAAAACAAAAAGGTACTGAGTATGCTAGGCACAGAGAAGACTAGGAAGACTGCATGAAGCAGAGGGTGTGAGTTAGGAAGCTGTGGCAAACATGGCTGGATCAGTGGGGCCAAACCAGGTCGCTAACAAGCTGGGAAGCGGTGGAGGTGGGCTGCTGAGAAGGATTCTGCCTGAGGAGCCTGTGCCCAGGAGTGAATCATTCCACATGCTCCAGGCCACCCTCAGGCCAGTTGGAGACTTTTGAGGGTGCTGGGGCATACTTGCTTACAAGTCTTTTCCGGGCAGGGGGTAAGCTGGCTGCCCTAGAGGAGTTCCAATTCCAGAAAGCTGATCTCTTGGCCAAGTTTTCCCTTTTGGAGGATCAGCTGAAGAAGCAGCAAGATGACTACAAGTCCTATGTTTGCCACATGGAAAGGAAGGCTTTGATGGATAAAGAAAGGTTTGAACCACCTATTGGTAATGGTGGGTTGGGGGATGGGAGTGGTGGGGGTACAGGATGGGGTGAAATAAAAGAGTGAGGGTTCTAAATGGTTCTGGTGTTATTCACCCAGATCAGAAGAGATCCAGTAGGAGATCTTGTCATCTAAGCTTAGGCAACTAAAATAGGAGTTTGGGGAAATCTACCTCTTACTTTCTAGCTGTGTAACCTTGCATAAGCCTGTGTATATGCTAGGCCTCAGTTTCCTCATCCATGAAGGATTGGTATTGGCCTAAATGTTCTCTGGAGTTCCTTCTAGCTCTGATGGTCTATGATTCCATAACTCCATGACCAGTTTGTAAGGCATGAGATTGGAGAACATCAGCAGAAAATCCCAGGCCTGAGTGAGACCAGGGTTTCTTTTTTCTTTTTCTTTTTTTTTTTTGGCTTGAGGGAAGAGGGATCTGAAATTGAATTCCAAGAATTCCTAAGGCCCTGGGCATCATACTAGTCCTTTTCTCTATTCTACAAAGACTTCGGAAGGACATAATCCATCGTATAAACACAGTGGCAGCTGAGTTTCGAAGGTTTTCTAGCTCCCAGATGGCAGAGACAACAAAGAGAGCTATTCGGGAGAATGTGACAGTGGCTCTGGATCTGGCCAAAATAAACTCTGGAAACTTGGAGCAGATAAAGGAGAATGATGGGCTGAAAGAGTCTAAGGTGGAGCTGTGCAAACAACTGGCCCTTCTGGAGAGAGATGAGAAGACCATGGTCAAAAATAGCCTCACTCATGTCAAAGTAAGAAGGGTTCTGACCTGTATGTACACTGAAGCCTTGTCCTAGAAGGAGGGTTTATCAGAGGACTGAATTCTTGATAAAGCTAAGGAAGCTGGGGTAAGGACAGAGTGAAGAGAGAATTTTTTTTTCTTTAGGACTAGTTCCTCCCCCCCCCCCCCCCCCCAGCAGCAGTGAAGTAGAGTTAGAAGTGGGGGAAGGAGTGCTATGGGAGAGTCAGGGATACAGGAAATACAGTACTACCTAAATGAATGAAATTAGGGAAGAGTGTCCTACAACTTTTTCTAATCTACCCTAGTGCCTGGCACAGTATTTGGCACAGAGGAGGCAGCCAACAAAAGTCTGCTGAAATTGAGCATCTTTAAAAACTAAAATTTACATCCAAGGTTTCGGTGGCTGCCAGGGAGCTGTCCACTACAGAGGTACTGACAGGCTTCAAGTAATGAGAATAATCAAACTATCCTTGGGAAACGCAAAAAGGGTCCCACCTTCTTTTTTCCTCTCTTTTCCATTCTCCCTCCCCCGCCTTCATCCCTTCTTCCATCTTCTGAAAGAGTTAGTGAGTTGGAAACTTCCTGGCCTGAAGATCAGTGTCTGTACAAAAGTCCTCCTCCATGTACTTTGGGTGATTTCCCCAATAAAGGGGGTAAACAAGGACAGTAGGGACCAGGTTTTTCTCCAGAAAACAAACTCTAGAATCTGTGTAACTGGCCTTTGGTACATTACAGAGAATTTTAATTCAATTCTTAGGGTTTAAATGAGCCCAGTCTGGCCTGGAGGATAAATTGCTGTAACCTAATGACTGATCATTGAGATCCATCTAAAAGGGAAGGAAGATGATGATCTCCATGCCAGGAACCTTCCCAGCAGTCACATTTCAGTCTGAATTCATATTTCATAATGTTTTCATGCCAACCTCTCTTATTTAAAGTTCTAGAACTCATTCCTAGGTCGTCTGCATTATTTCCACTTCTGGTAACAAAGCTTTCAATCACAATTTTTTTTGGGGGGGGCATATAGCTTTTTAAAAAACTTCCTCTTCTTCACAAGGCAGGTACTAGGACAGTATGGCCCTCCTTTGTCCTCCCACATTTCTAAACCACCTGTTAAATCCAAAGAGATGTCATGTGGCTATTCTGGTTCTGTGATTGGATGTATCTCACTGGGATGCGTCCTCTTTGGTAATAGAACTATTTCTGTATAAAGATTGTTGATACCTCAAGGAGCTTAGAGGCCTATTTGGGGGGAAAGACTCATGAATTACATATTAGAGAGTACAAGAGATAACTTGACAGGGCAATACAGGAGATGTCACAAGACAGCAAGGTGCTAAATAAACAGTGCAGATAAATGCAAAGGGAGAGCAGGAAGAACACCAGGAAGGGCTGGGGCCATCAGGAAAGGCTTCACTGAAGTGGGACTTAAAGAATAGGGAAGATTTGGGCAGATGGGGGGCCTTCTTTTAGGCAAGGGAAACAACATTCATTTGTTAAATAAATGTATGCACAGACACACACACCTATGTATTTAAATTATTATATACACTGGGGACATGGAGAAAGCACAATATGATTTGCTTCAACCCTGTAAACCACCTTGAGAAGATCTCAACCTACCCAGGGATGGGAGCAGGTCACATTTGTTGCTCATGCAGTCACTGTCTCTTGGCCTCTCCTTTCTCCCCTAGGTGATCCAACTTCTTTCTGAAAAGTTCCAGGAGCAGCAGCGTGCAGAAATTGAAGCTGACCAGCTTCAGCTAATATTGAATCAGGCGGAGATTGCTTTTCAGCAGGTGGAGGGAGATAATGAGGAGCTAAAGTAATATGACTTTACCCCTACTCCAGGGGAGTGAAGAAGAGGTGTGGGGTGGGTGGAAAATTCACCCCAACAGACTTAGTACTTAGCGGAAGAAGCCAGAGCTCTGTTCACATGGGGTAACTAACCAATGAATCCCCAAGTATTTATTGGGAGAATATTAGGATGGGGCCATGGAGAGGCCACTAACCTGGGAGTGAAGAGATCTGACTCCAGCCTTGACCCCGTTACAGACTTTGCATGGCTTGGACACAGACACCTCCATTCTCTGGGCTTCTGTTTCCTCCTCTGGGATGTAGGAGACAGACATATATGATCTCTTCATGTCACTTCTAGCTCTAAGAATAATGATTTAACCAGAGGCGGTTCCAGACCAGTCTAGACACAGGGAGTGAACAAGCCATTTGTGTACCCTCTCATAGTCAAGAAGCAGCATTGAGAGGTGTTGATCCTGGCTAATGCAGCTGCCCCTGAGTGTAGCTCCTACTTAGTTACAGCCCACCATACTCCTCCTATCATCACCATTGTCATCATCATCATCATCATCATCATCATCACCACATAATGAGAATGACGATGATGATAATTACAATAATGACGATGATGATAATGATAGTAATGATGGTGGTAATGGTGATAATAGCTATATGATGATAGCTAGTGTTTATATAGTACTTGAAGGTTTGCAAAGTTCTTTGATCCTCACAACAGCCCTAGGATATAGGTGCTTTATTAGCCTCATTTTACAGATGAGGAAACTGAGGCTGAAAGGTTAAGTGACTTGCCCAGGGTCACACAACTACGAAGTGTCTGAGGAAGGATTAGAACTCGGGGTCTTCTTACCTCCAAGTCCAGCACTTTATCTACTGCAGGGTGAGGGGTTACAGTGGATGGCAAGCCAGCTCCTTCATGGTCCTCTGTCCCCGGATCCCCAGGAACAAGATAAAGAGCTTGAGGATGCAACTGAATAGTCAGAAGATTGAGGGGAAGAGACTGAGAAGGGAGCTGGAGAAGGAGAGGGTTAATCGACAAAGCCTGGAGGTTTTGCTGACCAAAGCCACTCGCCACCTCCAGGACTTGCTAAAGGTGAATGTGTAGACCCGTGCTCGAGGTGTGGCCAGTCAAGGCTAAGATCCCAGAGGAGAACTGTTCAATACAAAATGTATACCATGTTCAGGAGGACCTGAGTTCAAATCCAGCCCCAGACACATAACTCTCACTAGCTGTGTGACCCTGGGCAAGTCACTTAACCCCATTGCCTAAAAAAAAAAAAAAAAGAAAAGAAAAAGAAAGAAAGAAAGAAAGAAAGAAAGAAAGAAAAAAAATGCACACCACACAACATGCCCCTAGGCTATTGGTCAATGAGCCAGAAATGGGATACTGAGTAACAGGGGGAAGTCCCAGCCCTTTGAACAAACTCAATGCACCATCATTGCTACTCCCAGCAGCTCCAGTGGACAAAGCGCTCTCACACCCTTCATCTCATTTAGCTCTCATCATAGAGGAAAGGGAAGCTCAAGGAGGCCTGGATTCTGCTGTCGTCTCTGCCATTAACTCCCTGTATGACTTTGGAGAAGTCGCTTCCTGTCTAGAATCATAGAATGCTAGAGGTGGAAGGAGCCTTAAGGATTATCAAGTTTAACCTCCCCATTTTGCAGATTAAAAAAATTGAGTCCCAGAAATAGGGAGTGATTTGACCCATGTCACAAAACATGTCATGTTCCATCTCTTGCCCTCAGTTTCCTCATGTGCCACAAGGAGATAACCCTGGTCTGGGATGCAATCCAAGCACCCAAACTGGTGTCTCACTGTGTGTGAGATGGGTGCTGAGTTTCACTGCTGTGATACTCACGCAGACCTGTGCAGATGGAGGCAGGTGGAGTGAGGGAATTGGTGAGAGCTCATAAGGCCAAACATTGGGCTTATCTTCCTCCTGATTCCCATTCCCCAGGTATGCCCTGAGAAAACTGAGGCTGGCAAGGTAGACATGTTGTTCCAGCTGGGGAGGAAGGAGATGCTTCGGAAGCTATTGGCTATGCTGAATGAGGCTATGGTGGTGGGGCCCCATATCCCCGAGTTTGTGCCTCCCTCAATCAAGTCCCCCTCAATCCAGTCCTTGATGACTATTGAAGAGAGGTGAGTGGTGATCTGGCTTTAGAGTCGTCTTTAAGAAGGAGGAGAGATTTGGGCTGGGTCTTACAGTATGCACAATTGGGGGAGAGGGGTCTTACAGGTGGGCTCCTTTTTGTGGTCTTCTTAATCCTCTTTCCTCTCAGTTGTCAGCAGCCTGAGCCCCAACCCCTGCTCCAGCAACTGGCCAACATTCAGCCTTACAGGCTTGGGGACTTGGGCCTGGTGCCCCGTCCACCTTCAACCACCGGGGATGGCCAAGATGCTGTTACATTCAGAAACCTTAGACCTGTTAAAGCCTTCAGCAGCCCTGAGGTGAGGAAATGATGGAGTGAGCATGAGGTTGAGGACAAAAAGGGAGGACCCTCCCAGGGGCAGCTGTTTTCTGATATGTGGAAGGGATGGGGTGAAGAGGCAAGAGGACAGAGCTCAGGCCTCTCCCTTTCCCTGAATTTTCCTTTTCCAGATTCCAGGTCCTCGAATTTTGAGAGGGATCAAGCAGGTCAGCATGCCAGCTATTCACCTGCACCCTAATGTGGGGGGACAGCAGGAATAGCACCACTTTCCCCATTCCCTGGCCCTCTGTTCAAAAAGGGAAGTGAAAGAAGAAATGCATGAAGAAGAAATGCAGACTTGGACCTTGGTGGCCTCATCTTCATTTCCTGGGCAAGGGTGGGAGAGAAGGTAAATGCTTTATAAAATGGTTACTACACAGGAATGGAAGAGAATCCATGCTGGCGCCTGAGCCCTTCCCCTCCCCTGCCCTGGAGCACTGTGCCTCTTGATCTAGAAGCCCTGGTGCCTGCCTATGATATGGTGCCAGCTGAGAATGCCTTAAGGCAAGGAGATCCTACTTTTTCCTAGAGGGGCTCAAGACTGCTTCATGAGTCACCTCCCTGCTAACCCGTCCCAGATTGGGCCAACCATTAGAGACTGATGAGCCTCTTCCCAGGCCAAAAGGATGGAAGGAACTCTTCATGAAGCTCCAATGGGCAGAGAGAGTTTGGAGGGACCTTCCATCAATGAGTGAGAAAATGGAGGTCTTAGTGCTTCTTAGAATGTCAGGCAGTGCCAACCAGGAACAGTTGAGTCATACTTCCCCTTAAAAACGGTCTGGGCCAGGAGACAGGCCCCTTCTTTCAGCCTCCTTCAAAACCTTACCTCAAGACTGAGGTCTCTCCATGGAGGGTAGCCCCTGGGCAAAGGTGTAGCACCTAGAAAGGTCAGGATAGGTAACACCACATTGTCTCAGGGAGAACAAAGGAAAACAGACACTTGAGTTGAATCAACTAAGGAAGGACTGTGACTCTTCTGTGATTCCTTTCAAGGCAAACCCAGAAAGACCAAGTGTCAGAAATCAGAGCATATATAAGGAAGGGGGAGGATAGGTGCCGCACTGCCCCACCCAATCAACAAGCATTTGGTAAATGCCTCCTATGTGCCCAACACTAGGCTAGGGGCTGGGGGTGCAAGAATGAAGAAATCCTTCGTCACAAGGAGCTTTCATTCTAATGGAGGGTGCTGCCAGGAAACTGCACACCTGGTGGTTTCTCCTCCCAACATCACTGTGAGGTAGGTGGAGAAATGGTTATTGGTCATTTTACAGGTGGGCAAAGTGAGGTCCAGATTGGGAGAGGTCTTGAAGCTGGCCACTCGTGGAACAAAGGTTGAACTCTGGTAGGGTCCTGCCTCTCAGAGTGGGGAGTGGGACCTTAGGGGTCTTCAGTCCTTCACCTCATGTACTGCTTGGCTTCCTAGATAGTCTCTGCTATGGAGCTGCTTGTCTATCCCATGAGGCATCATAACGGATGGATGCCCTTGATACTAGCTCATACATCTTGTCTTCTCAGAGAGACAGAAGGGTTGTGGGGAACAAAGGGAGCAGAGACTTCAGTTCAAACCTTACCCTCTACATCCCATCTCAAATACTGAAAACACTACACTCTATGCCCCTTTGTCAGTGACCTTTCCCTGGCAGCTGGGGGACACAGTAACTAATTAAAGTAGCTCCTCTTCCCTTGAGGGACAAGGGGGCCTCCCCTAATCTTTGCTCTCTCACTAGCCTGGCCCACAATGTGCCCATTTGGCATTTATGAGCTGTGGTGGGGTTGGAGGAGCTGCAACAGTTGGGCCTTCCTGAGGTGAACAGGAGCCCCATCTATGCAGCCCTGGTGCTTCTTCTTTCCCTGGAGTCTTACTTGGGAGGCAGTGTGATTCGGTGGAAAGAGCACTGGATTTTGAGTCAGAGGATCTGGGTTCAAATTTCAACTCTGCTACTTACCTGTGTAACTTTGAGGCTCCTTCTGGCTCTAAATCTACCACCCTGTGACTCTACTTAATATTCTGTTGCCAGGACAGCTGGCAACGCACCATGCATCACGGCCCTATGGCTGCCTATAGTTGTCCAGACTGTCTGCTCTAACCAGTGACACTCAGAAAAACCCAGTAAAGAACTGACCACAGGGAAATCAAGACCGCCTTACACTTGCACAACCACCTTGAACTTTCCCTAGAGTGTTCACATCTACTGTCTCATTTCAGTTGAAGGTCTACGGGTGGCTGGGTGGCCCAGAGGGTAGATGATTGGACCTGGATTCAAATCCTGCCTCAGACACTTCCTAGACCTAGCTGTGTGACCCTGGGGAAATCACTTAATCCATCTCAACTTCAGTTTCCTTATCTGTAAAATGGGGATGATAATAGCACCTACCTGCCAGGGTGGTTGTAAGTATTAGATGAGATCATATTTGTAAAGCATTTTACATACTTTAAGGCACAATATAATGCTAGGTATTCCTATTACTTGGGGCAGCTAGATGGTGCAGTGGATAGAGTGCCAGGCCTGGAGTCAGGAGGACCTGAGATCAAATCTGACCTCAGACACTTACTAGCTAGGTGACCCTGGGCAAGTGGCTTAACCCCGTTTGCCTCAGTTTCCTCATCTGTAAAATGAGTTGGAGAAGGAAATAGCAATCACTCCAATATCTTTGGCAAGAAAACCCCAAATGGGGTCAATGAAGAGTTGGGCACGACTGAACAATTACTATCATTATTACTATGTCTTCAAAGACCTTACCATTTACTGAGGGAAGGGGACATACAACATGCACATAAGTGAGTAAATATAAAGTAATTTCTGGAGGGATTTGCATTAATCACTAGGGGATCAAGAAAGGACTAGCATAGAAGGTGGCACCTGAACTGAACCTTGAAAGGAGCTAGAGATTCCAAGAGGCAGAGTGGGGCAGGAAGGGCACTCCAAGCATGGAGGACAGCCTGGGCAATAGCCCAGAGGTGAGAGATGGACTGTCTTGCACAAGAAAGAACAAGTAAGTCAGTCTGGCTGAAACATGATGGAAAACAATGTAAGATCAGCCTAGAAAGTCCTGGAACCAATCTGTGAAGGACTTTAAATGCCCAGTGGAGGGATCTGAATTCTGTCTTAGAAGTAATAGGAGGCCAGGAGCTTCTCGAACAAGGGAATGAGACCCGTTTTAGGATTGCTGGTTTGGCAGCTATATGGAGTCTGGATCGTGAGAACAAAAGCACAGGAAGATGGGTTAAGAGGCTATTTCCAATAGTGATGGCGGCCTGATCCTTTGATCCTCATAATAACCTTAGGAGGTGGATGGGGATTATCATCCCTACTGTAGTATTGTATTATCTGTTGACAATAAACATTCACAGGGGCAGCTAGGTGGTGCAGCGGATAGAGCACCGGCCCTGAAGTCAGGAGGACCTGAGCTCAAATCTGGCCTCAGACCAAACACTTGTCACTTACTAGTTGTGTGACCCTGGGCAAGTCGCTTAACCCCAATTGCCTAAAAACTAAAAAAAAAAAAAAAAAAAAGACAATAAACATTCACTATTGAGACCCAGGAGTGTTCATATGGCATTAGCACGTTGGATCTAGAACTCAGGACTCCTGAAACTCAGTTTAGGCATCTTTCCAGCATGCTAAAAGGACCCTTCAAGAAGAATCAGAATGGGGACTCGTGCCTGTTGTCGCTTGGGAATTTCTGCACCCAGATCTTTCCCTGCTCCTTTCCCAAACACGTTGGGTGCCATCCAAGGGTTGGTCTTGCTCCTTTCAAGCTCTTCTCTCGTTATCAATCAAAAAGTCATTCCTGACAACTTCACATAAGCCAGTCCCGTGCTAGGCACTGTAAGGTAGGAGGAAAGGGCATGAACCCTACTCTCAAGCAATTCTCTATCTGGCTGGGAAGAATGTATGTATAAATGAATGAATGAATGAAAACACATTTAAACTCTTACTATGTGGCAAGCATTGTGCTGAGGATACAAGTGCAATCATGACAGGCCCAGCCTTCAATCAGAGCGCAGGGTTCCAGGAGTGGGAATCCAAATTCCATGGGTGGCAGGGGGTGCGGTGGGGGAAACAGAGTCAAAGTACAGGCAGCATGCTTTGGAGAAGAAGATTCACAAAGAAAGAAAATAACAGCATTTCTATAGCACTTTAAGGTTTACAAAGCATGTTTCATATGGTCTCACAATAAGCCTGTGAAGTAGACGCTCCCCACTTTAGATGAAGAAACTTAAGGCTAAGAAACATTGTGTCCAGAGGCCTCTAGAAAACAACAGTGCACAAGACAAGATGGCATACAATTAAGGGCTGAATTTTGTGGGACAGGAAGAGTTTAAAGGGATAATCAGCTGACTATGCAAGAGAGCAAGGCTTGGATTGAGAATCGTCCTCTTGTGGGACAGTATGCACTGGGAAGACAAACTAGCATGTTGTGTAGGGTGGTTCAGAGAGATGAGATAGGGAGAACAGCTGGAATATTGCATAGTCCAGGAGTAATAACATAGGACTAAAATTTAGAGAAGGTGAATGTGGAAACGAAGAAAATAGGATATATGCTAAGGAATGTATTTTTGCCTTCCCAGATGAGTAGGAATAATAACAATAATGAAGCAGAGTGTGGGGATTGATGCAGTTTTCTCTGATGCTAGGCTAGAAGTATCGCTAAAAGGTGCAATTTGGGGACCATCAACTCTGCCTCTTCTCCCACCCCCAAACACAAACTGGGGTCCTTGCTAACTTTCCAGGTTCAAAGGCAGTCTAGCAGGCATGCTCTAGAATAATCTCAGAAATTAACAAAAAAAAAACTTTAAACTCTTTAAACTTAAGCTCCCATTTTTCCACATAGGCTGCCCCCCCCAAATTCATAGATATACAAGACACTGCTAATGGTCATGTAATTTGTTAGTAGTTTAAAATAGTATTGAAAATAGGCATTAAACGGGCCAGCTAGGTGGCACGGTGGATAGAGCACTGGCCCTGAAGTCAGGAGGACCTGAGTTCAAATTTGGCCTCAGACCAAACACTTGACACTTACTAGCTGTGTGACCCTGGGCAAGTCACTTAACCCCAATTGCCTGAAAAAAAAAAACAAAAAAAAAGAAAATAGGCATTAAAACAATGTATAGCAAGCTGCAATGACATTATCCCTGATGATTTCTTTCTTTTTCCTTTGGCACCATTCTTCCTCACTCATCAGAGGAGGATGGAAGGAGGTTAGCCAGATAAAAGAAGTCTGGAGCTTCCCAGTACAGCACCCCAGGGAAGGAGTGGGGAGAAAGAAGCCAGAGGCTGGACATCATTAGCTCTCACCGACCAAAGCTGCTAGCTTGACCTAATCTGCCCCCACCCCACCACTTGACTCCAGTCTGCTCCTATGCAAAATCCTGTGCTCTCCCTCAAATCTCTTCACCTTCACAT